ATGTTTTTCCCAGTCATCATCACTGGCTCATGTTATCTTGAGGCACTAATAGCGAATATTGTACAAAGATGACAGGTGCATTTTTAGATTTTTGATATAGGTTGTAATAATCTGGACAATCTGCAAGTAAATAGTAGGAAATTGATATAATTGTTTAATCGAAACATGCTGCCATGATTTTCCAGAAAGTTGTATCGGGTTATGTTTGAATAGAATCTTTTATGACTCTACAGTATTTTGAGGTCCGCCACAACTGTTTCCCACTTCAGTTCGTTCATCATCATGGCCTTGCACCATGGTGGTGGTCACTTCATAACACTTTCCAACTGTCTTACAAACTATTCAGTTTGATGGATTATTTTGATCACTGTGATAACTACGTACTCCATAGTGAGTAATTGTAAGTGAGCAGCGTTGACCGATTGAATTACACAAGTCCTCATTGAGACAATTGTCACCAATGGTACTCAATGATCGATACACATTGGTTGAATTGGAAATGGTGAACTTTTGAGTCCCAACTAAGTGGTCTTATACTGTTGTCCTCATCGAGGAAATCTTTAAGACTTCGATTTCAATGATCACCCAGTGATCAATAAGATGAAATCGTCTAATGGATGTTACATGCATTGGTCTTCAGTTTACAGAGATGCCGAGAACAAATATCGTAACTGTTTATCATGTCTGCGACCGTGACAAGTTTTCTTTGAATTATTCGGCATCATCAAGTTTGTTGAGGTCGACCGCGTACTCAGAACTGATGATGGAATCGGTATGTGATTTACATGATTCTTTAGTAATCCCTTAGTGGTTGATAGTCATTTGCTTCGTTTGATTTTCCAGGGTACGAAGTAACGTATATTGGACAGAGATACCGAGAGCAAAAGTCGTAATTGTTCATCATGTCTGCAAGCTAATATAAGCTCCTCAAAATGCAAACCACAGCGGTGACCTAAGCCTGAGGTGATGGACTGATATTTCGCAAATCAATTATTCACTATATGGTTCTGAAAATCTACTAAGAAGATCTGTAAATTTGTATTCTAATACATTTTATTGTTCTCACTTGTGTTATCCTTCACTATAATACAACCGGTTCCTCCGTGTAACGAGAACTAGCATATAACACCAAAACACCGAGAGAAGACAAATTATGAGAAAATTTTATATTCATGATAGAACAAGCAGAATGTAACGTAGCAGGTCATGCAACGTTAGAAAAATCACTTACGGATGTATAGGAGAAATTCATTTAATGAATCAGATCAGAAGAAACAATTTTAGTTACAATTCTCAGTGTTGGAAATTAAATGTGAATGATCTTGTAATCCCAATAACAGTTTCACATAATAAAATGTAACAGTCATGGACAATCACTAATGAATGTCTATAGACAAGTACATATCCATTTGTTCCTCCTAAATATATTGGCTTGCATTCTTGGATACATTGCTTGTTTTATTAAGTACATTGCATATAAGTGTTATTTCACTTGAAATGATCATATTCATCCAAATCATTATTGTTGCAATTACTAATCCACACAGAAAATATTGATCATCTCGAAAACCGAATCGTTGATCACCCGGAAAAATTGCTTGAGTTGCAATTGCCAATTCCTGAAATCAATGTACATATTGATCAGTATCATGCTTTAACTTCAATCATCTGAAACCATGTGTATAACCATCGTTTCACTTAAGTATGTTACTGTAAATTGCAATCACGGCTATGATCAAACACAAAATATTATAATCAGAAGGGTGGTTTATGGAGATTTGAAAGCTAGAAACCCTGGAAGCATTGGATTGATAGGTCCCGGGTTCGAATCCAGTTGGTGAGATCGTGGATGCACACTGCCAAGCAGTCTCATACTAGAACAAAATATTATAGTTTATGTGAACGTTTACCTTAATGCTATTTCTTCTCTATACTTTAGTTTGCCAACTTCATAATGTAAAAATGGATAATGCCAAAGCATTCTGTGGAATTGTAGTCAACTATTTAAGAATGGATGTGTGTGTTCTTATTAGCCCCTTTCCGTTAATAATTAAATCACCACTTCACCATTGTATTTGTCAACTGGTCAACATCTGACATCAATTTTCTATCCCCTTGGCCTTCCTACCGTACATCAGCAAAACAGTACACAAGTACTTTCTACTCATTATAACATAATTCACATAATAATTGTGCAATTCATGTAGAAGCATTCTGTAAGTGATAGTTCCCACTTATACTCACCAGTCGATATAACACTGATCATAAGGAAATAGTGAACAGTGAATTGTTTTTTTTATAAATTTTTTTAGAAGTACTTATCCATTAACATTTCACAAATGGAACACTACAGATTCGAGTATCGTGAAGAATCCTCAACCAGAAGAATATCTAGTTAACGTTCATTCGTACACATCTCCCAATTCAACTGTTTCGCCTTTTATGATCCCTTATTTTATAATTTTCAACGTTAATCCAATTAAGATCACTCGATTGTTAATAGCATGTACAGAGGATAATTTAGAAAACGCCCTCATCTAATTATGTTCGCACATTTACACAGAAACGTAAAGAAATATGCGTTTCAACATCACAATAATTATCATCTGTCATCAGTTAAAGTACAATGCAGTGTTAAGTTCCATGTAAGTGGAAACCTTGAAAACTTGACCCTGACGATACGATGACTAAGTATTGGTCATTCTACTGTAACTGACTAGTGTATCTTCAAACAAACAACTGCTCAAATCAGTGGTGATATTTAATGAGAAATGTTAGGAATAGAATTTACAACGATACGTAATAAATCTTCAACGAGGAGCAAAGGTATGAAGAATATCTAAACACTTAGTGTATTTTGAACAGAAGCTGGTACAGAAATCTTGCGCACATATTTCACTTTAACGGAACTCAGACTCAAACTGATCATGACTTCTAGACAGAACGAAACATTGGTAGATAGTATATCCTGAATGAAATCAACTTGTCATGACATAGGAAGTGAAGACAATCGTTCAGTGGATTCATATTTGGAGATGAACAATTTTCAATTGATCATATCAGCGACACTACAAATATCAACCATTAAAAGTAATAACAATATTTGGGTTATTCTTCTGCATTACTTACATAGATGATTGTCAGTAGCATTCCAAATCCAGAAATAATCAAATTTACCTATTGAATAGTAATAATAATAATAACTTTTATCGTACAAATTGAAATTTATCTGGATGAATAAGTGTAGATTTAGTTTCATTATTCAGTGACAATCAGAGGCATCACTCTTCTCTCAGTACCAGAAAACGTTTTCAACAGGGTGTTGTTAAACAGCGTGAAGGACTCTGTAGACGTCCAACTTGGAGACCATCAGGATAGATTCCGTGAGGATCGATCGTGTACACACAAAATCGCAATTGTAGGGATTATTGTGGAACAATCAATTGAATGGAATGCATCAACTTCATTGACTACGAGAATGCATTCGATAGCATAGACGGGACAATGCTACAAACAATACGGCGTGCCTGAGAAGATAGTCAATATCATACGGAATTCCTGTAATGGATTAAACTGCAAATTCGTGCATGGAGTACAGTTGACAGACTCGTTCGAGGTAAAATCCGGTGTCAGGCTACGTTGCTCACTCTCACCTCTCCTCCTTCTCCTGTTGGTTGATTGGATTGTGAAGACGCTAACATCTGGGGTAAAGCATGGTACATAGTGGACAGCTAGGATGTAGTTGAACGATCTGGACCTCACAGATAATCCGGCTCATCTATCGCACACGCACCAACAAATGCAGGAGTAAATTATCAGTGTGACAGCAGCCTCAACAGCAGTAGGCCTCAACATACACAAGGGAAAAACTAGATTCTCCGATGCAACAGCATACACCAATGAAATCACACTTGATGGAGAGGCTTTGGAGGATGTGAAAAACATGACATATCTGGGCAGAATCACTGATGAACACCGTCGATCTTATGCGGAGGTGAAGAAGATATGAAACTCAAAACAATCGTCTGTCAAACAACACCAAGATGCTAGTGTTTATTAGCAGTTGTCTACGCAAAATACTTCGAAGCATTTGACCAGACATTATCGGCAACAACCTACTGTGGGAGAGAACAAACCAGATTATAGTGGAGGAAGAAATCAGGGAGAAGTGTTGGAAGTGGATAGGACACACATGGAGGAAATCACCCAACTGCGTCACAAGGCAAGCGCTAATATGGAATCTCGAAAGTCAACTTATAAGAAGAAGATTAAAGAACACATTACTGTGATAAATAGAAACAAACATGAGAAGAATGAACAACAATTGGAAAGGATTAGAAAGGAAGGCACGGGACAGAGTGTGTTGGGGAATGCTAGGTGGCGGCAACAGTCAATAACTTTATGTGTTGATAGGATGTTTTGATTTGGTCAACTTTCATTGTATTGATTCAACCGCTTCAATGTCAGTCGTATTAACAAACATAAATTGGTGGTAGCTAGAAAATATCATGAAGATGTTCGTGTATTCAGAACGGCTAGCCGACCAATAAACAATTGTGAAGGGATGACATTGATGTTTGTTATGAATAGGAAAGAAAGAAGGAAATGAACCTTGAACTATTGAGTGTAATGTCTTTAACATCTAATTGTTAGTTATCGAACTCCATAAGACAATATCTTACTGATTTATCCACTATAAGTTGAATACCAACTAAGATTGTTTAAACTATATAATTATGCAGGTGTGAAGACGCGGATCGGCAAAACAAGAGTAGCATCATTACGACGGAAGAACATCTGGAACTCAAAACATTTGTCTGTCAACCAACACCAAGATCAGAATTTTCAATACGAACATCAAGATAGTTCTACTGTATGGGGCAGAAACCTGGATAACAAACTCCATAAGACAATATCTTACTGATTTATCCACAGTAAGGTAAATACCAACTAAGATTGTTTAAACTATATAATTATGCAATAATCAAAATCTCACTTACATTATAGTAACTAAAATGATTCAATACAATGAGAACGATATAAACTACTGCTTGTAAAGTGAATATAACAGTAAAGAATATATTGAAAGATCTTTGTATATCGAATCGTTTTAATCCGCCGAATAATAAAGTAAGTAACGTGATTCCCAATGTAATACCCCAAGTACTAGGAATCCATAAAACTTCCAATTCAGAAAGTGACCTTGAAGCTGGGATTGAGATTATCATCGACTATCAAATAAAAATAAACAAGTTAAATGGGAATCAACGTAACAGATCACTTTTCTTCGAAATAATAATTAATTATTTGATTACATGTGACAAATATGTAGTAATATTTGACAGAATGCTGTAGATCATGAACTTTGATGATCTCTGTCAAATGATACAATGCTTTATCAAGTTAGACGGGAATTGTGTGACTAACTAGTTAACATTGAAGACACACCTCACAGTCACCTAATCCATAGGTACGGCCGACGGTGGTGTGCATCCTCTCTCGCTCTCGAAATGCTCTCACATTGCCACGCTTATATAGCCTCTGGCAGCGAAGTCCTACTCACTGCCTTCTCGTGGCGGGTGTGTTCTGTACGAAATTGAGAGGATGAAAAGTGAATGTCCGGCGTTTTAATCGGGTTGGTGGACACTGCGCGTCCAGCTACGGGAGTTGGAAAACCCTCATTCCCAACCAATAGTGTACATGGGCTCCAGTATCCTGAGGTAACATATGTATCTGGTGCCTCTTTGTACTAATATTTATGTGTTCAAATAAATAAATACATAAATGCGGATAGCCTTCTCGACGTATCAATGTATTACGCTTGCTTTGGAAACCGCATAACGATGAGGACGTTTTTATAGAAATATATCAGTAAGAGTAGGTACAGGCGACATTGTGACCAACACCACCACTACATGAATCAGTCCATGCCGTACGATTAACTTATGTACGCTGTTTATCCGTGACTTTGATAGGGATCGACGATCTGTTCAATATTCCATTATTCAGCTGCCAAATGATTTGGCTAGAGATCATTGACATTTCACTGACCCGACAATGGGAATCAACAATAAAGTGGAAAATGTAAATTTCAAATGTTTCACTGTGTTGACTGTTACTCTACATTTATTTGAATGTAAGTAGTTAAGAAATATATTGAATCAAGCTATGAATGAGCATTTGTTGACAAATTAATTTATTGGCTTATCTCACTGAATCACGATAATCAATTACAGATGTATGAAGAGTCAATTCGAAGATGGCTGAATGAAACATTTCGTCGAACTCACAATCAATCCGTCACAACGTAGAACTTCGTGCGTAAGTACGTCAGTTCGAGTTGCTATACCACATTAGCACAGAGATGCAGTTGTCGATCCAAATCCCATAGTGGTAGAAGTAGTGAGAGTATAAGCATTATGTGAAAGATTAGGGTTTGAAGATGTTATTCAAGGAGTGTAATACAGTGAAATAAATTTGGAAAGAGAAAAAGGATAGGGACATGATGAATTCAAAAGGTTAGAATTTGGCAGAACACAAACAGTGGATGCAACTTCACCATTGCAAACGATTTTGAGCCATGTCATTCAAGGTATCCAACCATCGATTGTTATCATCTCGCGAATCACAATCACGTAGTCTTCACCTACCAATATGGGTCAGTTCAATTGTTAGTGACTTCATGGATTTGTGCCACGTTTTGGTCTGGTCGGAACTAGCTTTCCTCCTACCTACTCCTACACCAAGAAACATTGCACGTTGGGGCAGTCGGTGGTTGGACATACGTAACACGTGTCCCAGCCATCTCAACTTCATTACTTCATCAATCGATTTGCCATCCTTACATAGTACCCATTTCCTAACAACTACATTGCTTACTCCGTGGTCCCCGAATATACGAGCAATTCTTCGAAGACACCTACGATCGAAAACTAGTAGCCTACGAATATCCTCCACTCTTATCGGCCATGTTCACTGCCATAAAGCAGGACGGAACGAACTGCTGCACAGTAAACCGGTCTTTTGGTTGCTAGACGAATATCTCGCCTATGCGATAAATGACGCCAGTTGGCAAAAGCTAGACGAGCCTTCTGTATCTGTGCTGATATTTCGTTACACACCAGACCACAAGGGCTGATGAGATTCCCAAAATAAGTGAAGCGGTCAATACGCTAAACTACTTCATTCCTTATCATTAGTTCAAGTGCCGATGCAACCCAATCATGAAGTAACTTTTTGTACTTCGAGGGAGAGAATCGCATCCTGAACATGCCTGCATAGTTGCTTATAATGGTCAGAAGACTCTGCATTTTGTCAGCGTCTTCACCAAATAAAACGATGTCGTCGGCGTATCCTTAGTCAACAATTGAGCCTTCCAGGAAAAGTTAAACTCCACGAGATTGAGATGATGAAAGTTTTATCTCCCAAAGCATGGGCTCTAACTCGACCAGTTGTGTTCAAGTAGAAAACCTGTATAAGGTTAGTGTACTTCTTTGGTACTCCTTTCTGTGACAAACACTGCCATTCAAACTTCACGATCAACGGAGTCGAATGCCGCCTTAAGGTCGAGAAATACTACGATTGCGGCACGTCTGAATGTATGTCTATGTTCTAGGACCTGACGTATGGTGAACATCTTGTCTATACAATCACATCCAGATGGTAAGTCAACCCGGTTTTCTCTATTCTGCTCTTCACGAGCTTTGGTTAGTCGTCAAAGTATTATTGAAGCTAATATTTTAGACACTATATTAGTCAAACTGATCCCTTTGTGACTGTCACAAGAGGACTTTTGTCCATTTTTATAGACTGGTACAATAAGTGATTGGGACCAGTCAGATGGAATTACGTCCAGTTCCCAGGTTCTGTTCAAAATCCCGGTGAATCTCACTGCTAGTACTGGAACACCATCCTTAAAAATCTCAGGAGTAAACCTGTCAGAGCCTGCTGCTCTCCCTATAGCTCTTTCAACCTCGTAGAGTGTTTGAGGACTTACATCAATTTGCAATTCAGGACGTCTGTGGATCGTGGGTAACTAAAGGCAACCTCTACTACCACGTAAAGGTAGCAGCAACATTCGGGATCGAACCTACAATGTGTCTACTAATCTAAATGACGAATCATTGTGTTGCATTATGTATGCTTCGATGGTTGTATGCGATTAACAGGAAGGTCTAGAACTGAGTGTCGTACCACCAGATAGTCGTCAACATGATGAATGTGATGTGTTGACTAGTGTCAACTATTAAAAAATTATGTTCATGGTGTCCTTCGGAATCTATCCAACTACCCAAAATCAGCTACAAAGTCGATTTCATGAAGCCACTTATGTTTTCGGAATGTGATATCGATGAGATATCAAATTCTAGAACCTAGTGAAAAGGATAACCTATACATTCTTCACTCACTCAACTAATTAGGATGAAATAAAACCGTGAAGTTAGCCAACCAGTCATTTAGTCATTTATATTTGTTGACTCCAAATGGTTTGAATTAGAATTGCTCATACAAACGAATGTCTCTCTGTATTAAAAGAGAATTAACCTGAATATATACTACTGAAATATATTGTGACATCAAATTATATAATGGTGAAAATGATCATTATTCTCAAGTATCGTCCCTAACTACTTACATGAAATACCAATAGTATGTAGTTCCATGGAAATTTAAATTGTACTTGTGGTATGAGAGCCATCTCCAAATCAATATAGAGTCCTGAAAAGCTGTAGTAATAGAAAACACATACAGATTGAAATACACTAATGTGAAAAATTAAAATGGTAAGCAGCATAAAGTTCAGACTGATTTAGAAATAATGATTGAAATTTTAAAGATGGAACGACAGTTTGATAGATATGGTTAAATCATGTACAGATTATGATAGTTATCCATTGAATGATTGGGTAAAGATTATCTTGTATCACGGTTACACCAGTCTCAAATGTGAACAACCTGAATTTGATTAAATTGTGTTAGGGTGAATTGATGACTATGAAACAGGGGTTGCAATTTGATCCTGTTATATCCTTTCACCAAATTGAAATTCGAGTTTCCCACACTTTTTATGAGTCATTCATAATACTTACTGATACAAAGTAGTTTGAAGTGTATTCAATCCTATTCCCAATCTGATCGACGTAAGAACTAGTAATAATTTGCAGAAACTGTAGCTGATAATGATTCCCCAAAATCAATAGCTCTGTAAGAGTTCGACATTGGATGCTGAACACATTAGTTTTAATGGGCTCACATAGCTGAGGGCGCTCGGTCATGCATACGCACCAGATGACGTTTCAGAACGGCGTGCGAAACATCTCCCACGATCATTAGCCACATTAGATCAGTCACTTCTCCATATATTGATAACCCATCAAATATATCTTCCCATTTCCTCGCTTCTGACATTTGATTTCACTGGTTGGGCGCGATTCGATTATGGGTGTTAATGGTAAGGTGTTGTCAAACTACAATACCTGTGGTATCTTCAAAACTAATCAGCGAAACACATCCCTTTATAATCCTGTCACTCTAATCCTATTATTAGTTTCCACTTACATTCACGTTTAAAATCCTTACGTTTCTTACTATTCTAGCTCTCTATATGTTGAACAATATGATTAAATAATGAAAAAACTGACCGAAACAATGTTAATTTTGGCAAGATTGAAATCCCAGTCTTAATACAATACACCAGGTTTTAAGTTCGCTTGTATTTTCTGTCCTTATTCTTCCTTAATTTGACATGTATTTTGTGTGTTGTTTTATGCTAGTTATTAATATTCAGTAAACAGTTCTATTTCTTATGTTAGACATTTGAAGATGAGGTGCAAGTGCAATGTCATTGAGCTCTAGACAAACCATCTGGCAATTGAATCACTGAATATCGAACACATCATTGATCCCTGTCAAATTCACGGATAACAAACGTGCATCAGTTAATTGTGTGGCATGAACTGATTCATGTGGTTGCGGTGGTCACACTTTCGCTTGTACCTACTCTAACTAATATATTTCTATAATAACGTTATTTTTGTTATACGATCTTCGAAGAAATCAAAATACTTTGATACTTGAAAGGGGTAATCCATGTTAGATGCTGACTGTGATGTGTGTTTTCAACATTAACTGTTTCATCATATCTACTCATTAATTATATTTTTTAAAAACAACACCGTTACCATAACGGAAATAGATATACCAAACAATTGATAACTTACAAACACAGCCCAACAAACCAGTTTATGGATAGTAACGAATCCTTCAGTGCACTACTTAATATAAACAGAATCAAATGTTCAGATCATTTCAAATGAATGAAATGAACTTACATTAATATAACAAGAAGATTCATTCCCCATATGATTAATAGTTGTAGAAAAGTTACAGCACTTGCCTTACAAATTAGGTAACATTTTGTTTTGTTGTATTAAATTACCTTCAGATAAAAATCGCCACTAGTTACTTGTTGATTTGGTTCTATTCTAATCTAGATGTTCATGTTACGATTTAATTGTATGAACAAACAAACAAATCAATAACCTACTTGGTTACTTTCCAATTCTGTTAAATAACGTTCTTCTTGTTTTTCAACTAGATTTAAAAGGAATAAAAGTTTTATTATTAAATATGAAAGTAAAACATGAAATGAATTCAATAATCAAAAATGGAGAGTTGTACATTAACTCTGAGATATAAGGTGCATTCAGCTGATGAGTCACAAATAGGATGAAACGCACATCAAATTGGATTTCACTATTACCCACGATCCATATTTACTTATAATTTCTGTGAATTAAGGCAATATGGAAGCAATATACGCAATATACACACATGTCAATAACAGATATACTGATCTATTTTAGTCCTAAGCAAAAACAGGAAGATATATGTGCTAATATCACCAATGCCGCCAAGTTAATTAATCGTTCTATTCAATCAATATTATTCACTCACATTTCATTGTAACAATCAAATTATTCCTGATTAACTCTTTGGAATAGGGGTAACAATACAACTTATAGTAATATAATCAACAGTAGTATTTCGATTAGCATGGAAACTGTGTAGACAATAGAGAATGAATGTTGATTTACAATTAGAATTCGCTTTATTAATATAAAACGAGATATAATGATCTTTGTACTATCATTGAATCAATAGATCTGGTGAATTCTTTCAAAGCTAAGACTAGTATTTAACAGATAATTCAACCAATACTGATATAAACACATATGAAGGAACAAAGTTAATGATTGTAATATGATTGACTTAGCGTCATTTTGATAAAGAAATACCTCACCTTCTATCAAAGGAGATCCAGTCAACACTGAATGATGATGTAATCAGATAAATAGTCTTGAAATTCGCATACATCATATAACTTAACTACTTACTTACGCCTGTTACTTCTCGTGGAGGAGCATAGTCATCCCACCAGTTCTGGTTAGCGTTTCTTCAGCAAGTTAGTTTTCTGCATGACGCAGTGGCTAAACCCATGCACAGCCTTCCCATTCATCCGTGCTTGGGACCGGCAGTGACTCTATGAGAGCAACAGGCGGAGCAAACATCATATAAACTAAACTATAATTCACGAAGGAATTCTTTGACACAATAGAGAAAAGAAAAACAAGATAAAATGACGAAAACAGAAGATAAACTGAAGATGATTGAACAAGAAATAGTGTGAAATAACAAGGAAGATAAGAAGGAATGAAACTTAACCCCATTGAGATATATTACTGCTGAAAACACAGAGAATACAATGGAAAACACACGAAAGATATTGAAAGAGTTAATTTGCGAATATGTGACAATTTCCATTGAGTTTGTTTAATTCAATGAGATTGATAATGAATAGAAGACATAGTGTTTGATTGTGTTGAAAATTACCGGGAATGGAGTTCACAGTGATTATGATGTTTATTACCTTCTTCCCTTACTATATGATGTTACAAATATATAAATGGGATATATCAATTGATTTCTGAGTAGTGAACACTGTCGTGTTTGTCTAATCCGGATGAATGTGTCCCAATAATACTCATATCGCTGAAGAGCTGATGTTGCAGTGACATTTGCGATTATTGCAGCCAATTTTTCTGGTGCTTTTATTATACAGTTTGCGGCAATCATTACAAGATGCTTTAGTCTTAATCTGGATCAAGCGATAAAGATTCCTATTTTAACAGGCGTCTTCCTTCAATATATATTACATCGTAGGACATCACGGTAGTCTGCACAAGGTCTACAAGTCATTTGATCACTACAATTTCAAATGAAGGACTTTCTCAGTAATCTCACTTATTGTAGCCGTTTAATTGTCAAGCCTTATCTAAAATCCTCTGTGAATCGATCGTACATGATCGTCAGGTACTGTAATTGGCACCGTGACTTTGAAATCCCTCAGACTCATCTGATTGCCTCATCCATAAATTATAGCCTCGCCAATTTTTCTTTTGATATAACGATTGTCATTTTGTCGCAAACCTTTGCTTCACAGTCATCCTTGCTCAATAATCGTTATCAATGTCTCAAGATAACAAATGCAGTTGATGATGAGTGGGTGAAGCATGTCGGTTCAGTACACCATGAGTGTGAACGCTCCATGCTAGTTATGTGGTGGTTGACAGTATATGAGGTTCCGCACGTGAAAAGAACATTGTTGCAGAAAATGTCATCGTATGGAGCATAAAGAAACAAACTGCGGAAGAAGAAGAAACCATTGACGACATTCTTCGAAATTATACTTCAAGAAATATCGATCTGGTGCATTAACTAAAAAATATTGATATCATATAACCGTGCACGAATTTACCGCTAAAGAAAGTATGTAACCTTGAATAGTAATAAACAGCGTGCTCGCCTTCAACTTGACACAGCATCTGATATTACTTTAATCTGCCCAGAAACGTGCAGGAATATCGGGAGATACACAGTGCATCCGACAACACAACTGGCACCATTTGAATCTGCTGTGAAGTTAAATATTGTTGGAGAAGTACCATGCATTGTTTCTAAAGGTAATCTGACGACAAACGCAACAATAATAAACCCCTGTGTGTGGATTTTGTAACTATAACGATGATTTTCTTTCCGCTAAAAACTATAAATACCTAACAGTTTTGTACTTTAATTGATACTGTATCGAATAACACTCCTTCTACTTGTCTTATGTCTTCCGATTTTACTTCTTGGGAGGGTTCTAAGGATCTAAGTTCAAGATATAACAGCTAGTTTCCTGAAGAATGTAAAATACATTATGTTGATGAGTGTCGTTGCTCAGAATATCGATGAATACTTCGTAACTGAATCATCTACATCTAGCAAAACAAAACAGCACCCGAAAACAGTTAGTACGAATTCAAGGTTAGGCAAATTTTCTTTCAATTCACCTGCAAAGCGATGACAGGTTGAAATTCACCAATAACCAGTGGAATTTACAGAAATTATATGGACTACATGTAGCATTGTACTGTTTGATTACTGAGCTGTATCTAATGTTATGTTATAAATCCACTAATGCTAATCGAATCGCATCTACTAATGTGTAATGTAATCATTAACTACTTAATATTATGATGATTGGAAGCAATGAACAAGAAGTCTCGACTATCGGATTTGTGACAGTGGGTTTTCGTCACCGATCTAAATATCCTCCATTGTATCCTCGAGTTTCATTCTTCAGGCTGCATTACAACACAAGACACTTAAACTAACTTTCATGCATTCTTGATCATTTGAAATGCTCACGTTCACGGTTCACTAGACTTTCATGATCTTCCCAGTCATCATCACTGGCTCATGTTATCTTGAGGCACTATTAGCGAACATTGAACAAAGATGAAAGCAAATCAGTTTTTGCATCAGAAGAAAAATCCCTTGGGTTCTTCGGAAGAATGAAGTTTCTGGGACATATGCGTTCAACCGTGACACGTTTTCTTTAAAGTATTCTGACATTAGCGGCATCAACAAGTATGTTGAGGTTGACCGTCAACTAATCTTCATGTTTCTTGAACCAGGATTCGAATGTAATACCAGACTTACAGTCGAAATGAAATTTCTCAAGAGAATTGATGATGGAATCGGTATGTGATTTACATGATTCTTTAGTAATCCCTTAGTGGGTGATGGTCATTTGCTTCGTTTGAGTTTCTAGGATACGAAGTAACGTGTTTTGGCCCTCAGTGAACAGAGACACCAAGAACAAATATCGTAATTGTTTATCATGTCTGCAAGCTACTAAAAGCTCTTCAAAATGTAAACCACAACAGTGGTGTAAGCCTGCTGGACTCTAGGAGAGACGTCACTCAGATTTCGCTGATCCAGATCTAGCTATTGTGGATACGCTCTCCACCCTATCTTCTCAAATAGAACAGACGGAGAGAATGCTTTGAAGACACTATTAGAAGATCATTACTATAATGAGGGACGACACTATTTCCAACACTATGTTGCCACCTGAAATAGTTGATGCGTACAGATGAGATCCAGATATCCGCTGATTTCATGTTAGCGATAAAGTGTTCGTCAAGCCATACCTAGGGAAAAATTGATGAGTAGTGGGAACAATTGTACAAAAATTGTGAAAAGTTTTGTACAAAGTCCGAGGAACTTCTAGGTTATGTATTAAACGTACGAACCAAATCCACAAAGATGAAAGAATGATGGATATCAGAGATAATCAGGTGAGTCTTTCATCAGAGTTTATCACAGATACATCAACGACACATACAGGTGAGGATAGCAGAAAGAACATAAGACTGAGTACTTGGACAAGAAAGACAGCAACAAGCAAACCAGTTGTGGGGCTGCAAGTGAACTCAAGGAGAAAATGTCTTTCCGTGGAGGTGTGACACGACGGAGCCTCCAGAGGCTCTAAAAGAGTCTAGGAAATTTCACCTATTCGGAATCTGATGGAGCTGCCTAGAATATCAACGTGTCATAATACTATTTGACGGTAGCATAAATTACCTGCTTGCGAATTGACCGGACTATAATGATGTTATAACTACCGCTAATGTCTATAAATACCCATGTATTTCTGTACGTTTTTCCTCACACCCGATAATCGCTTCTTCTGCTTCTCCTGTGTTTGATTTGCAACCGTAAGGGTTCAGTACATCCGAGTGCCGTTAGGTGAATGTCGTATTCTGTGCCAATCAAGCAGAGAACGTTACAGTACTAACTCGGAATTCCCGAAATAGTGCAATTTCAGACAATTACAACTAGATGAGCGAAAATGAACATAGTATATTTAGAATTCGTAATAAGCGGGCAATCAAATACGAAGGAATCACTAGTTCGTACAAACACCTCATTCTATTGAATTATTTGTTACAAACAGATTATACTTGCTGGTTATATACATAGTGACCAGATTTGACTAAGACATTGTGTATGACAGAATAGGTATTTATCTAAGACATTCACCTCTAAGTAATTATATACCACTTATTAAACTGATTGAGATCAAAAGAGAAAGTAAGTGTTTGTTTGAAGGACAAATGTAAATCAATGAGACTGTATGACAACCGTCGATTACTCATTATACCTTATTGTAATATTGAAGAAGTACAAACGTCGTTGATCAGTTTCATTTCGGAAATAAAAGCAACACAACATGTGAATAATTTACACATATAGAATTGGTATAGTTTCTGTCAAGTTTTAATACTTCGAGTTCTAATACTGACAAAATTATTGTGGTGTGTCCTACTGATGTCGATAGATATGAGTAGTATGTATCATCAGTCGAACGTGAGAAACCTGGTCTCAGAAGGTGAATAAGATCGAAGAAACGAGAACGAGAACAGAAAGTGATTGGTGTGGAGACGGATGAACAATGAAGTCTGAGGTTATTGACTGATATTTCGCAGATGTATTATTTACTATATGGTTCCAGATTCTAATAAGATATTCTGTAATTTTGTAATCTTATATATTTGAATGTTCCCACTTGTG